ATGTGGCTGTCCGCCATTTTGTATATACATAGTTATAGTATTTAGATTTAAGATTCTTTGTTCTTTTCCTTCCTTCTTCTTTCTACTAATGACCATTTCCGGTCACCCGATCAGGAGCGGGAATTTCGTGGGTCCTGATTGGTGGCTTACCGACGTGAACAGGGCGCGGCCCTGCCCGTGGGGTACACAAGGTGAACAAAGGGGTGAGAAGGACACTTTTTGCCTGGACGACGAGGAGAAAGGGTTAAGAAAATATCGTCGGGACATTAAGTCAGGCTTAAGACAAAGAACCTGCCCAATGTGCGAAGTTTAGCGTAGTCCAAAGAGAAGAGAAGAGGACTAGTGACTTGATTGATGAGAGATAGTAGTCTACGGAAACTAAGTGCCAAATTTCATACTAGGAATGTTTAATATACCAAAGTCGGCCGAGAAAACCCCCGCAATTATCGGAAACCACCATCAGGACCTCCTGTGCTAACTACCGGTAGACCTTTTCTTTCCTTCCTTCCTTTTCCTCTTATTAGTATAGTGTTAGATTAAGTTAGATGTAAGTTAATTATAAGTTAGTGATTAGAACCTATATCGTGATAATTAAAAATTGTAAGATTCCGGACGAGAGTAGAGACCTGTTGTATATCTGTGTATTTGTCTCTGACGGGCATCTCTGTGTTACCTGTTAATCCCTGTTGTAATAAATTATTGTTTAATTGATATTCGTTGGAACGATTTGTCTCGTACATCTTTAACCTTCACATACCAGTTCCAAGAACTTGGTACTCATTGTCTTCAGTTCCAAGAACTTGAAACAAAGGGGAGCCAAGGCCCGAGGGCCGACGAGAATAAAGAACGAGTTAGTCTGGACTGGACCTTTGTGGGAGCCAGAAGCGAGAGAGAGGAGTGCTCTAGATCAGAGGTGACTTGTGGCTGAATAATTCTGAGGGAAGGACATTTTGGTTACTAGAGACAATTAGAGTCAGCGTTGGATCGAGTTCCCTACTTTAAAAAGAGAGAGTAGAAGTGACCACGAGATAATCCTGAAACCCTGGGTATTGTGATCTTTCCCCTTTTCTGTCTACTGTCTCATAGAATCTGATATGTCTTTAGGTATAAGCTAGTGAGTAAGAGTTAGATTAGAGCATACTATTGTCGCGAATTTACTTGTGGTACTAGACAACCGATTTACTGTGTATAGTATAAATTTAGTACAGTGGGATCCAATAAGAACCTAGTTCACAAGTGGCAAATAAAATACTTGTGATTTTATTTGTCACTCGTGAACTAGAAATAACTAGAATACTTAGTAAATGACTTTACTAAGTATTCTTTGTGCTAGTCTATTCAGTAGTCTATACATGTGTCGCTCACGAACTTCACAACTTCTTGCATTATCCCCTTGAGATGAGAATGTACAGGTAACCTCCGTATAACACAGCATTTCTATAGCATGGATTCACTCTAACACGGTTCGAGAATTGGTACCATCCCCGTATAACACGGTACTGTTATAGCACGGATTCACTCTGACACTGTTCGAAAATTGGGTAAAACCCTCATACAACATGAAATGTAATAAATTTTTACATACTTAAGTAATAATAGTTCACGAAAATTATTATTTTCATGAACTATTAGTATTTAAGTATGTAAATTTTCTTTTCTTGCCTTCTGTTGATACACATGGTCCTTCTCGAAACTTGTTTCAATGTTGCCAGATCTCGACACTTCTGCTTCTGATGTTGCCAGATGTTTTTCCCTTATTTCATACTTGCTTTATCCTTCATAAGTGCTTAGCACCATATGAGGAAATTTATAAAGATCTTTTAACTAGAAGCAAGCAATCTAAAATTACATACGTTTTGCAAAATGTATCTGAAGATAATGCATGAATATGAATGCATGATTTTGCATGGATCTGAAGATAATGCAGAAAAATGCTCAGAGGATAAGGATAACTTGCCGTTTTCTTTTTGGCAAGTTATCCTCGGTTAATAGTGCTTTTAGTGATAACGAAGAAAACATTATTTAATTTATATTAATATGTATCACTTAAATATCTTTATTAAAATTTTCTTATCTTAATTATGAAAATATAATAGCATGTTTTTTAATTTTTGGAACCTAACCCTTTTTTTCGTATTAGTTCTTTGTTTTGCATAACACAGATTCGCATAACACGGCAATTTTTTGAAACGTAACATCCGTGTTATACGGGGGTTACCTGTATATGTCATCTATGCTGTCTGTTCATATATATTTTATGATACCATTTAAATATACAATTGCTTCTCATATGTGTCCAATAAAACCTGTTCATTGTGATTCTGTAAAAAATCTTTTGCCTGTCCATATATTAAAAAACTGATTAATAGAAGGTTTCACTAAATCTCCACATAGCATATATCATAGTGTCAAGAGTTCTGTCATAATGTGCTCTGGACCATGACATACTGTAAGATTAAATACATTAATCTTCCTTAGAAAAACACTTCCTTGTGTAAACTGTTGCTCTAAAAGTGCTAACGTGGTGCTCATTTAAACAGATTGCTCTTCTATATACTACCCTGTTAACGGAAGTCCCTCTAATGTAAAACAGAAAAGAAAACAAGGAACATGAGAGAATGCTCTCTCTTAAACTGCTCCCTTATCCGATGCTCTGTTAAGTGGATTCAACTATATTATATTAATATCACAATATAACATTGAAATGTATTGATTAGATTTTAAATTTATTTTAAAAATTAAACAACAGTTTCAATATAATGAAAAACAATTGACAATAATGTATTTAAAAATTAATTGTTAATTAAAATAAAATTGCAGATTGTTTTATTATGCTGGAGACTTCACACAGACACTTATTCAGAAGTGAGAATTTTTTATTTAATCTAATTTAATACTTCAAATTCTTTTATTTCATTTCTTTATTTAACTAGCATAATTTTCTAGCATACACATTTTACTTAAATGTCACAAAACAAAATATATTGAGAAATTATATTTGTTTAATTAAAAATAAAAACCAAAAATGAAATAACAGAAGACCTTCTGTTGGCTGAAAATATTCATTAATAATTTTTGTTTTAAATAAAATGAAAAATAAATTTCCATCTCTGAATAAGTCTGTATTTCATAATTAATCTAAATTCTTGGACTTTATCCAACATAATAAACATACATAGCTTTATTCCAATTAATAAGTGATATTCAGATAAGAAAAAAAAGCAATAAATTGAAATTAAATAAATATAATGTACTAAATATCAAATTTTTAAAAGAATTCAAGAATAATTTCAATCTACACAGTTTCTATATGAATTAATTAATTAATTAATGCATCTTTAACAGTGGGTAAAGTTAAAAGAACATTGATGTTTTTGACCCAATTAAAGTGCTATCCTCAGACATGGAAAGTTGAAAATAAAACTATTAAGTTACTACATTTCACATAAAAAATGTTCACCTTCAATAGAACTATCTGATCTATTTTCTGCTTCATTGTTAATAACTGAAATTGATTATAAAGCAAAGGATAATCAATCTCACATTCCAATCTTTGAGAACCTGACCACTTTTCGTCGGCAGGAATTTCCGAGTAAGTAGAATATAAACCGTCGTTATCGATTTTAGTTTTTTTCTGTGGAAAAACATTTTAAATTTTATAAAAATTAAAATTGTTTTAAATCAAAATTTTATTATTATAAAATAAAACAAAACTTATATTTACCTTCATGCTTTCTTGAATTTTTTCATTTATTCTCACCTAATAGTATAATTAATTTTTTAGTAGTAATTGTAAAATAGATTAATATATAAAAGATCTTACTTCATAAATGAGATTTTCCATTTCTCTTGACCATTTAATTTGTTCTAATTCTATTAACTCTTTCTCTGGTTGCTTGGGTAAAGGATAATTTTCAACTTTTACATTACTATAAAATCCCTAAAACACAATGTATAATAATTTTAAATCAGTGTTTTTTAACCTTTTTCCCTTTTGAGCTTAATGGTCCCCCCATAATTATAGCTTGGGAAAAAATTAAAAAATAAACATTAAAAATTTCACTGCTTTTTTAAATATTACTAGATGGATTTTTAATTAAAATAATTTTAGCATATTTATTAATTAATGTATATGTACTTATACATTCATTTTTAAAAATAACATATGTAATAAATTGACATTTCAATTGCGTTTCTTCATGCAGCACTGCTCGATCAAAAGTATATGCTAATCAAAGTGCTATAATGTAGTGAACTCTTTCTAAACATTTGCTACAAGGAGTCGCTGCAGCAAAGATAAAGCAGCTTTTACATCTGCTACACGTGTAAAGCAAAATGGATACTTCATGTGTATAATATTATATGCTGCAAAACTAAAAAATTAAAAGTGACTGTTGATAAAAATATTATGAAAAGATTATGGAGGATTAAATTTTATAAAATGACTGAAAGTTATCTAAAGAATAAGAAAATACTATGTTTTAAATATAATTATCTACCTCCTATCTCTTTGTTCATATTTTCAAAAAGAAATGCTCAATTCTTTATATCTCTTTATTTAAATATTGTAGTTCTTTAACTAAAGCACTACTTTCAGTTGTAACTGGAATTAAAGGATAGATTAGCTCAAGTTGAAAGTGTTTCTAAACTATAATGCAGTAGCGTGTAGCGATAACTGCTCGTGACATCATTTTCTTTACACTCTTGCTATAAAAAGAAACATGAGCCTTACTTTATTCACCTCAGTTTCTGTCCACATTAGTATTGCCAGACATGTGACATCTAAAATCAGTAGATGTAATCAAAAATTTTTGGTAGATTTTGCATAAATTCAGTAGATTTGAATTGATTGAAATGTAAACCCTTAAATAACTCAACACAGAAAAATGGACTTACATTATTTTTTGTATATAATAAATGCTCCCACATGTGAGTCATCAAAGGTACAATTTTGCATTGTAAAAAATGAAAACTTAAAATTCTTTATCCTGAAAATATAGATCCAGGCACTTAAAATTTAAAAAAAGCAAATTAATGCCTCAACATAATAATCAATTTGCTTGCCATTTTTGTTAATCACTTTAAAAATGTGATTTGACATTGATTTGATCAACTGCACAAAGAATTTCATTGAAATTTTATTCCATTTCTGCAGTATAGCTTTTTTCAGGTCCTCCTGATATGAATACTGCTTTCCATGAGCACAAACTGATCTTCACAAAATAGCACACATTTTCCATCAGACTCAAGTCTGGAGAACAAAGCAGGCCAATGTAAAACTGGGACTCCATTACTTAAAAACTACTTGAAAGTGATTTTTGCAGTTTGCACAGATGCATCCATTATATGTTGAAAATAAAAGTGGGAGCATACTATTTCCTTTTATAGAAATAAAAAGAAATAGTATGTTCTTCGAATGAATGTTGATAATATGCTGCTTTCAAGTAGCCACTAATGATGTGATTGATGTTTTTCTCCTCTCCTGAGAATCCTGTCCAAACCGTCAATGATCCGTCACCATGCTGTCAATTGAAAAAAGTGTTTTCTTTTCTAAGGTCGCACTAATAAGCTGTGAGTAAGATCTCAATCTCTACCAATTTCTGAGTAAGCTCAACCTTCATGATCGTTGTCTAAATTAAATATTTTTTTCATCAGACCATATAATACCCTTTCACTGTTTAGTCTAGTTCATTCTTTCTTTGGCCCACTAAAATCTCTGTAGTTCATTCAGATTATTTAGCTTGGGAGATACTTTTAGCTGCTTGTCAATAAGATAAGGTTTTGATTTTACAATTCTACCAATTGAAGATTGTGATATATTGATATCTGGTTTGTTTTTTTGTTTGTTTGTTAAGTTATGGCAATGCAACACTTGGGCGATATGCCTATTGATATCTGGTCTCAATGCTATCTGCTGATTTGTCATGTTGTTACTTAAATCTGTCTTACCACCAATTCCCTTCAGTCATGTAGTAATTTTAGATAGACTTCCTGAAGATTTTTTTAATCCATATGTTTCTCTTAACTCCAGATAACTTAGTACTACTTTATGTAAGTGATTAAGTTGCTTTCCAATTTTTCTAGATGATATTCCTTGCCCACGAAGAGCTGATATTTGTCTCTTCTCAAAATTTGTTAAGGCACATCCTTTTCCCATTTTCTTTGCACTTCAGCAAGTAAGGATACTTGAGATTTTGCCTTAGAAATAAATGTTATGCAATTAAAAGCTAGTTCAAACTTGTAATTTGTAAATATAGTATAAGTTATACAGTATAAATGCATCTTAAAAGAATTTTAAGTTTTTGTTTTTAAATTTAATTTTCTCTTACATTTACAAAAATAATAGTGACATATTCAATAAATTATATTTGCTTTATGTTTAAATGAAAGTATTTGCATAAAAGTTTTATTTAAATAACATGTATTTTTTTAAATTAGAATTTTCAAAGTGGATTTCATTTTATGGAACACACCTTACATATGGTTTTATAGGTACTCTTGATTAACACAATTAATTCATCCCTCAACAATACCACATAAATCAAAATTGTGTTAATCAAATATGGTGGTACCTTGGTATTCAACCAAACAATCACCACCCACTAGAACAAATTTTCAGCTAATAACAAATATTTTTACCTTTATTTTGTCATCCATAAAAAAAAGTATTTTATGGTAAAAATGAGTAACTAATTTAAAAATAAAGTGAAACTTTAGCGTTGTCTACCTTCATCAGACAAAATGATACTCGATCCAGTTTTTTCCTCCACTATACAGAAATCAATCTTCATATAAACAGTGACACAATAAGATTTGTTGCAAGTTCACAAGTTGTTATTTGTCATTTTTAACAATTTCTTTCTGAAATTTCTCATCATCAACAGCTTTTGGGCAACCCTTGCATTTTGTATCCTTTAGTTAAAAATTTTCCAAATAAACTTTCAAAACTGCATTTTTAGGAGCATCATCCCCACACACAGTAAGAATACTTTTTACTATTTGTGTATTCTTTACAAAGCATACAAAGCATTATATCCTTTACAAAGCATAAAAAGTATACTATATGCCTAATATGCATTTTATCCACAGACATTTTGATTTGATTTTATGCAAACAAAATGTGAAATTTTAAAATAAGCTTTTAAATAAAGAATACAATATCACATTAGCAGTAATATGATAAATTTCAAAACCATCCTAATTAAACTACAGATCTATATTGGAAATCACCCTGGGCACAAATATAGCAAATTCACCAATACTTTTATAGAAAATATATTTCTTTTTGACTATACATACATAGATGAGTCTTTATCAATTTTCTGTCCCTTCACATGCTGTACGAGGCAATAACAATTCCACCGGCGAAGTCGACCTTTCTATGTAGGCTACCATTCGCCGTAAAATGGAAAACAGTTAATAAAATCCTCTAGCAGTAGCATAACACAATTAATATTACATTTTGTTAAAAAATAATAAAAAATTGCCAGGACAAATTATGACATTTATAGAAAATATATTTCTTTTTGACTATACATACATAGATGAGTCTTAAAGAAATATATTTTCTATAAATGTCATAATTTGTCCTGGCAATTTTTTATTATTTTTTCACCAATACTTTATTTGCCAAGAAAAACATATCTATGTTAAGTAAAGACAGCCGTTAAAGACACATTAATTAAAATTTCTGCCACTTAAAGGAATTGCTGCAATTAATTTCATGCATTATCCGTATTACCTATATTAATTTTATGCATCAAATCCCACATTAAGCAAAACTGCATTATACCTAAAACCTGTACTATATATAATTGTTATTTTTTTAAATACTTAAGTTTGATTCCATGCTTAATTTTATGCCAATTTCAGAAGCAAACAAATGGTGACATTAAATTGAAGTTTTACAATATATGCACCGTATACATCTACATGCAATAGATGTATATTTTAATAGTAAACATCCTTTGAAAAAAAATTAAAAATGACATGCATTAGGTGACACATGCAAGATTTAACATATCTTCATTTACTAAAAACAAATATATGTATAGTGTGGTCATACACCTTATTTTGTATATTGTTGTATATATTATTCTTAGTATTTTTTTTGTTTTCTTCCTCTTTGTTAGTTCTTTTGTCTTTCACCTTCTAGAAACTTCTTCCCTAAGACGTGTTGTGAGGACCTCCAGGTTGTTCTGGCATCGACTGGAGAACAAAGGAGACAATAAGCCTAAGCTAGCATTCGAGAGGAGACTGAAATATATCTCGATATAAGGATCTTCAGATTATTGAGAGAATCTGATAGAGTTCTACAATCAACAATTCCTACAATTCAGAGAGTTAATAATTCAGCAATCACTCCAAGATCGTCGTCACTTTGGGTACCCATTCTTTTCTATCATCATATATCCAACTATCCTATTGTCTATCTTTTCTTCCTCTTTTTTTCAGTATAAGTAGTCATAGTTCCTTTTTTTGTACCGCGGTGAATATTTTTTGTTGTGAGATTATACTTAACGATTCTGTCCAAGTATCTGCAGAAATTGTATGTAAAAGAACAAAAACGAGGAGTGTCGGAATTTATAAAGGAATCCTGTAAAGAAAATAAACATGGGTGAAGAAAGAACATATATGTGTGTTATATGCTTATCCTCTTGTTGGATTACACTCACCACATATGTATCTTACAATAGTATCTAATAACAAATAAAACATTTTAGGTTCAAAATTTCCTTATGAAATTTATCTTTGTATTTTATGTAAACATAATATTTTAATAATTTATATACTTTTTCTCTAATAATTTTTTTATTTATAAGTTTAATTGTTTTCATATAATTTTAATATTTTATTCTGACTGTGGTCCCCCTAAAGTTTGCTCTGGCTCCCCAAATGTTGATTTTTAGCCTACAGCTCCCATGAAATATACTGTGGCCCCAGCTGAGAAATACTGTTTTAAATAATGAAGCCACTTACCCATAAGCAAATTCCTTTTTCTTCCATATTATCCCAACATTCTGTTTTTAAAATTTCAATATTTTTTTTCAATTTTAAATAACTTTCTTGAAGCTCCTCTTTGATCTAAACAGAAAATAAAATAAAAGATTTCAAAATATTGATGAGCTGTGTAATTAATGTAATATAAGTAATTAAATGATATTTTACTGATCTGTAACATGCATACAGATAAAAAATTAAATAAGAATATCAATTCAAGCATCGAAAACATTTCAAATTTTATTGATAATAATACACCTACATTTTTAAAATGTACTTAAAATTATTTATGACTATATTTTAAATATGGTTTTATAGGTACTCTTGATTAACACAATTAATTCATCCCTCAACAATACCACATAAATCAAAATTGTGTTAATCAAATACGGTGGTACCTTGGTATTCAACCAAACAATCACCACCCACTAGAACAAATTTTCAGCTAATAACAAATATTTTTACCTTTATTTTGTCATCCATAAAAAAAAGTATTTTATGGTAAAAATGAGTAACTAATTTAAAAATAAAGTGAAACTTTAGCGTTGTCTACCTTCATCAGACAAAATGATACTCGATCCAGTTTTTTCCTCCACTATACAGAAATCAATCTTCATATAAACAGTGACACAATAAGATTTGTTGCAAGTTCACAAGTTGTTATTTGTCATTTTTAACAATTTCTTTCTGAAATTTCTCATCATCAACAGCTTTTGGGCAACCCTTGCATTTTGTATCCTTTAGTTAAAAATTTTCCAAATAAACTTTCAAAACTGCATTTTTAGGAGCATCATCCCCACACACAGTAAGAATACTTTTTACTATTTGTGTATTCTTTACAAAGCATACAAAGCATTATATCCTTTACAAAGCATAAAAAGTATACTATATGCCTAATATGCATTTTATCCACAGACATTTTGATTTGATTTTATGCAAACAAAATGTGAAATTTTAAAATAAGCTTTTAAATAAAGAATACAATATCACATTAGCAGTAATATGATAAATTTCAAAACCATCCTAATTAAACTACAGATCTATATTGGAAATCACCCTGGGCACAAATATAGCAAATTCACCAATACTTTTATAGAAAATATATTTCTTTTTGACTATACATACATAGATGAGTCTTTATCAATTTTCTGTCCCTTCACATGCTGTACGAGGCAATAACAATTCCACCGGCGAAGTCGACCTTTCTATGTAGGCTACCATTCGCCNTGTTGGTTACGTTATTTGATAAAAATAAGATAAAACTGCTGTTTTTTTAGATGGATACCTATATTCATATGTACAGTACATTCAAATTTAATTTCTTTTTCTTATAAAACAGTACTTATTAAAGCTTATTATGACTAATTTTCACATACACACAAACGTGAGAATGATTCTTTTATTAAGGTTTGAAGATGAATCCAACAAATAAGTTACAGAAAAAACATGTTTATTTTGCAATTCCCATTATACAACTTCAATAATCATGATAAACATTTAATGCATAAACTTGCAATTTTAAAAATCCATCTTAAAACTGTGCTAAAGCTAAAGAAAACAGAAATATGGGAGAGGGAGGCGAAATTAAATACAGTACAGCATTGATTATCCGACCCCCGATCAATCGTCACATCGGTTAACCAACCGTGTTCTAGTCAGCAAATTCAAATGTCCGCTAGTGATGTGGCGCTACAATATTTGGCTATGTCTTGGCTACTTTAATATTACTTTTGTTAAATTTTTGCGTGTTTTAGTTGCAACACTGGCTCAACCATAAAAGGGAGGCCAGTATTTAAATGAGACTTAATTNGAAGAGAACTGGCCAGTTATAGGAGAAGGACGTGTGTTATCCCACCCAACAGCATGCATAAAGAAACAAGCTGAAAAAAGGGACAAAATCCGAGATATCCCTATTTCTATCTTATGTACCATTTTTTCTGTCTTCTTAATTCTATCCCTTTTTCTGTTATTAGTGTTAAGTTAGTGTTTAAGGTTAGTTTTAAGGTTCCAGGTTATATTGTCGCGATCAGGATCTGTATTGTACACATGCTTTGGATACAGCAAACTATTATTATCGCTGTAATTTCGCATGCTACTGTTTGTACCGTGAAGTTGGAATCCCCCGAAATAGAATCTGTATAAAGATGCGAATTATCAAGTTTAGCAATTATCAAGTTTAACCCATATCTTAGCACGGTGCATACACAGATAGCCAGCAAGCATCAGATATGGGTAGAGTACAGGCGATGTCCCACGATTTTCAATATCCTACAAAATGAAAAAGACCCTCCAGATCGCACCAGGCTTTCCGATGTTTATTCCATCCCACCGAAAAACAACAGGTAGGGAAAAGACTTACTATATATCGATTCTACCAAGCATTCCCTAAGTACCCGTCTAAGGGAACACTGAGCGAATATCCAGCATGGGCGGTTTACCACTGCACTTGCTATGTATGCGTCCGATCCAGATGTCGAGGCGCACTTTGATAGAGCTACAGTCATCATCAGCACACCCCACCAGGACCACCTTAAATGGCTAGAATCCATAGTCATTTACAAAGCAGGCCAAGTAACCACGTGCGTCAAACGGAAGGAGGAGCTAAATTTGTCGCTGGCCTGGCAGTCCCTTCTAGATGCTGGCCCGTGGCTACCTCACCAGCTCACGGCCGCTCATGTCAAGCGAAACTGACTTTGTCGAAATGACACTCGAGCCCGTCAAATTCTACATGCTCCATTCCGAAGCATTCCTAAGCTAGTTGACCTGAGGAAGAACTGCGAGATAGTTCAAAAACGTTTGTCACCCGCTGTATATTTCTTATATGCATTACTCGCTGGTAACAGGTTCAAGGAAGTGAGAATTTTGCTCCAGTGCTGAAGTTAGAGTGAACTTTGTCAATCTTTGTGTTAAATAAATTACATAGTAAATTCAAATCATAGTAAAAACTCATTATTGTATGAAGTCCAGGTCAAATTATTTCTAAATTATGTATTATTTTAATGCAAATGGACAAAAGTGTTATTTAAAATCCGTAAGTATTATGGGCAATCAAATGAAAATGAGACAAACTATATAACAAGTGTGGCACGGAAGTTGGTAATGCAGATAGGTGTGTATATAGAAGTGCCCTCTATTGGGAATCAGGAAGGAACAGTGTGAACATTCACTGCTGTGCCATTTGTCTGTTAGACATGCTCAAAGTGAGGTCGGCGAGTCGTGTGCACATCCAAAATCACTATGAAGGTCCGGTGCTTGTTGACTTTCTGAAATACGGTGCCACAATTAACATACAGTGGTACATAGAAACTTTGCAAAAATTTAAGCGTGCCATCAAATCCAAACACCCAGGAACGTATACAGACAGCATCATTCTGTTGCAAGATAATGCCCATCCACGTTACCAAGGTTGTTTCGACTACGCTGCAGAAGTTTCGCTGGGAACTTCTGCAGCATAGTCCATACATATCTTCCATACAGTCCCGATTTCTCGCCGTGCAATTTCCATAGTTTTGGAGCCTTGAAGAAAGACATTCGTGGCCATCAATTTGCTTTTGACGAAAAGGTTCACACCTGGGTACAATCATGGTTCTGTAGGCAACCGCAAACATTTTTCTATGATGGCATTGACTGTCTTGTCTCACAGTGGGATAAATGTATTAATAGTTATGGCAATTACTTTTGAAATAATAAACAGTTTACTTACTTTTTTCCAATCTGTCTCATTTTCATTTGACTGCCCCTAATAATAGAAGCATAGGATCGTGGATACAATCTTCATAATAAAAGCACGTAAAAGGTTATAAGCACAATATGACCACAGCTTATATCACTTGTTCGAATTCAGTGTGTGAGAGATTTAACAAATCGATTTGCAAAGTTATATCCCACATATCAAAAGGGAGCAACCGAGATTGGGACCTATATTCATTGCACCAGTCCTATTTGCATATAATAGTACCATCCATGTCTTACTGTATGGATCGGATCCACATTTTCCATGAATCTTTCCAGATGATCTTAAGATGAGTAGTCAAGATGAAGGTTCTCAAAACGAGTGGGTTAACAGGCTAAAGTTCATCCAGAAAAGTGCATTTACTTCGGAGAGGAGAAAAAACAGTTATAATAGAAGTCATAAATTGCAAGAGGAAGAACGGCACTTGGGTGAATGGGCAGAATGTGTGGCTGCTCGAGAAAGGCACAGTAAAAAGATTTGGGAAATTCTCTGCTAAGTATCTTGGACCTTTTTGCATTGTATGCATGTTGGGCTCTGTAACCACGGAAATTGAAGGCAACTCTCAGAATAGTTGTATACCGTCCATACTTATCATCTAAAACCTTGCTACATTCCAATAAGAGAAAAGGGGCAAAATAAAATACATCATGAAAGCCCTCAAAGAATAAATGATAATGAGAGCAATCTCGATGATGAAGATGATGCAACTGACCTTATGCATCATATATCTCAGCGACCCTGTCACCATGGGGGAAGGCCTATAATCACGAGAATTAAATGGATAACGAGAATTTGAGAGATGAGGAACTTTATAATGAGCAGGGGCCACATCATCACTATAATTTACGCAGTATAAGAATTGATTACCATAAGTTACATTATGGCAATTAGTTACTTCAGTAAGGCATATGTGGTGATATGCCATATTTTATATTAATTTAAGATAGTTTTCTTCCTTTCTTCTATTATCTGTCCTTTTCTGAATATTCTTTCCCAACTCATTCTTCTTCGGAATCCCTTTGAACAAAGGGAAGGAAAGAAGCCTGAAGGCTAAACAGTGAGACAAGGGACATTCTTGGCTGAGACATCAGAAGACAACGTTAGACACACTATATTGTTTTAGCAGCAAGTAGAGATGAGAAGAGGAAAAGGCAAGACTTAACAGCAGACCTGACTGGAAAAGTCATCATAAGGTCTTTGGAACAGCATAAAAATGAGTTAAGAGAAATCAAGAATTCACCCATCATTCAAAAAAAGGAAAAGATAGTGAGACTTTCACCAAACCAAGACTACCATTGCAGGCCAGGTACCCTCTTTTATCTATCTTTATTTCTATTATCCTTCAACATAT